GGCGGGGGGGAGCGGGGAGGGGAGGGAACAAAGCAAAAGCCCAAACCTTGCCGTGATGATTTTTTTGAGCTTCGCTTCTGGAGGACGCAGCGGATTTGTTGTGGCCGAGCCCCGCGTGTGTGTGAGTGTGTAGCGTGTGTGTAGAGTGTGTGTAGCGTGTGCGTAGCGTGTGCGTAGCGTGTGTGTGTGTGTTTGTAGCCGTGTGCGCCTGTGCGTGCGGGGGGAGGGGGCGCGCCGAAACGAGCTGTAATTTTTCCTCATAATTTAGCAAGGTCGGTAGAGAGCCGGGCTCGGACACTTACTGCACGGCAAGGGGAAGGTCCGGCCCTGCCGGCCCGGCTCTCCCGCAGGAGAGGCCCGCACCGCTGAAGCCCCTGTTGGCAGGAGGGCCGGGCGGGGGGGATAGAGCCCCTGCTCAGGGGTCCCGGCCGGGGGCGGCCGCGCAGGGAGCGGGGCCGGGCCGGGCCGGGGAAGTTTGTCCCGGAGTTTGTCTCCGGTAACTCCGGCTGCGGGAACCAGGGCGGCGTGCCGCCTCGCAGGACCTCTGCCATATGCACGAGAGCTTTTGCAGCGTGTTTTTATGTCTTTTCTTTTTTTTTTTCTCCTAAGTTTTCCTTTTAAAATTCTTTTAGGGTTTCTATGCGTTTTGTTTGCATCCCCTTCCCCACCCCCCGCCGATAAAAGAGCCTCTCCCTCCCTCCAAGAGGGTTTCAGACTAGGGCACCGAGCGGTTATTCCAAGGCGGTGACTTCCATAGACGAGCGAGAGGACCCACAGTTCGGGGGGGGGGGGGGGGGTGTCCCTGAGGGGCACCCCACGGGGCGGAGGACAGCCAGGCCGCTCCCGCGGGGCCCGGCGGAGCTCGGTGGGGCCAAATGGGCGATGCCGCCGGTTCCCGGAGGCTCTGGGGGCAGCGGGACCCCAGCAAACCCCGGGGGAGCCCTGCCAGCCCCGGGGCACGGAGCTGAGCTGTGTCCTCTGGGCTCCCCAAAGCGCGTCCCTCTCTCGGGAGCCCAGCAGCGGGCAGCGGGCTGCCCCGGCCCGGCCCGGCCGGGATGTGTCCCCGCTCCCGGGCAGGCGGCGGAGACCCGCGCCCGGGGCCGCTGCCCCGGGGAAAGCGGGAGGGGAGGCCCGGCCCCCTGCGGGCTCCCCCGCCCCGGGACCTCGATGACCCCATCATCTCCGCAGCAGTTAGGGCTGATGACGTAATGTGGGCGCTTTTTTGCAGAAAGTCGTGATTAACGGGAGGGGGGTGGTGGTGGGGAATCCCACTGGGCGCTGGAGAGAAACAGGCCTCTGCAGAGTCTCCGGAGGGGTCCCTTGGGACCCCCCCCCCCCCCCAGCCATATCCCAGGCTGCGGGCCTGATCCTGCAAACCCCCCTCCCCTCCCGCGGGTGGCTCCCTGGCTCTAGGGGAGGCCCGGCCGGGCCGGGCAAGCGGAACTTACTCGGGCGAGTAAGGACACCCGGGGCCGGGTCCAGCTTAATTGGAACGAAACCCCGCAGTGCTCTGCAGGGCGGCCGGGCCGGCTGGCTGCGCGCAGGGCGGGAGCCGGGGCTCTCGGGAGCGGGGCCGGGGCCGGGGCCGGGGCCGCCTCGGAGCCCGAGCAGCAGCTCGAGAAAGCTAAAGTGGCTTGGTTTTTGTTTTTTTTTTCCCTTATCTGTGTGTTGTGTGTTAGCGGTTAATCTGTGCTAACCGCCCAAAAAGAAAATACTTGTTTTTCATGAGATAGTGGGAACGTTGTCAGCTTTTGTAAAACGGGCAAGTGCTTAATCAGGAGTGTTTTCTCTTCCAAGCAATGATAAACAGCCAGCTAATAGTTATGACTTTGCATCTGTGGATGTTGTTGCTGGTTCCAGTCTGCCAAGCATACTTGGTCTGCCTGTGGCACGCGTTTCAAGTCCTGGCAGGATTTGAGACTAGTAGAAAGGCGGGTGAAAGGATAAGGACAAAAAGGGTGGTCCACTGAAAAACAAGTCGTGAAGGTGTTTCGTGTCATGCTGTGTCATTAATCAAGGCTCAATCACCTTACCAAGATGTCCCTGAGGCAGTGTAAGATCTTGCATCCCAGGGGAGCATTGGGGTTCCTTGAGGGGGACGTGCAGCTCTTCTAAAGAGTAGCTGCTGCTGCTTCTTTCAGGCAAGTGAGGTTGGTTCTTTACTGCTAACAGAACTGAATCGTTGCTCTGAAAAAGGAGGTGACGTAAAAGGATGCTCTTACCCAACTTCCTTGTCTTCCACGTGAGAGTCGGGGGCTGGTTCGTATTGCCTGGTTGATGATGAAACTTTCTTTTATATTTTTTATTTTAGAGTAATTCATCTTTGGAGAGCAACTTGGAGGGCCTAGCTGGTGTTTTGGAAGCTGATCTGCCAAATTACAAAAGCAAGATACTAAGAATACTATGTACTGTGTATGTATGCAGGAGGTCTGGGAATCTGGGAGGTGCTTCTCTGTGCATAAGTTTATGTGTTTAAGGTAGTTTAAATGCCAAGAATGGCTTTAGTTCCCAAATGCTGTTATAGCGTAGACTTTGTTTTACTACAAACAAAAGAAATAGCGGAATAAGCTTGGTATGTACTAGGTTTAATTCAAGGAAAATACCTCTTTACGTTGCTTTGACTTGAAATGTGTACGAAGATTCAAAGCAGATAGAAGAAACCTTAGAGCTGCTCTTTGGTAGCAATGCAAATGCAGTGATGCTGGGCAATATCCTCTTTCCTAATGAAATGCGCAAGAGCACCAAAGCTGTTGGCTGCTAACACTTATTTAGTCTTATTATTTGTGCTGTTTTTTCATTGCCTGTTCCTCTTCTCTGGCAATGAGATGCTCCTGTCTTTGTAAGCCCATTTGCTAGAGGAGGGGAGCTGCGAACATGAAGAGCTGAAAGCGGGCTCTCCGCTGGCTGACAGCTCTCCTTCCTCTCCCTAGCGAAGTGCAGGAGCAGAGGTGCCCTGTGTCAGGGTCACTGAGTGGTGTCTGAGGGAGGGGTTATGCAGGGTCTGCGGTGGTAAGTAGAAGTATGAAGGAGGGGTGTGGTGAAGAGGGTGAGTGTTTCAGCCCTAGCCTGTGCTATGGTTTTGCAGATACTTTAGATTTATTTTGTAGCAATGTTTGTTAATACAAGGCAAATTGTACATTTTTTTTTCCTATAGCAGTAGGATACTTTTGAAAGTACGTGGTTAGCTTACATGCATACAAAAATGGCTCAGGAAAATTAATTCTTTACAGTAGGACCTGACCTTCCCTATGCTGTGCTTAAAATCAGGTACTTTGACTTGAGAAACTTGGAATCAAAATTAATAGCGTAAAATGCATATGCCTATTGTGTAATCTTGCTGATTATGCTGTGTAATAAAATAAAATTATTTCTAAATTACAAACTTAAACAACTTCTTACATCCTTGCATAAATTCTGTCACTTAATGTTATTTGACCAACCCTCTGGAATACTTAGCAATTAGATATAAATAAAAAGCAAATACCTTAAAAGTACTTGAGAGTGGCACCTGCCTTTCTAAATGACTGTAGTTAAAAAAAAATAATTGTAAAATACTAACCATGGGATAGAACTGTAAGATCACCCTAGTGCTTTTTTCTTATTTCCTAGTGAGACAAGTTTAATTACAATAAGCAGATTCTAAGATGCTATGCAGTTGCCAATTGGCACATGATGAATAAACAATTAACACCATGTTTCTTTTTCTGTGTCAGTGCACGTCTGTTACCAGAAAAACTTACTGTTTACACAACACTAGTTGGGTTGCTGAATGCCAGGAACTACAATTTTGGTGGAGAATTTGTAGAAGCCATGATTCGTCAGCTTAAAGAATGTCTGAAAGTCAATATGTATAACGAAGCTGTGCATTTAGTAAGTGGGTTTTTGTTTGTTTGTTTTACATTTTTGCTCATCCTTTTTCTCTCCTTCTTTCACCTTTTTGTTGCAGAAGAGCTGGGCCTTTCAGTGTGTATTACAGTCTTTTCCAGCATCAGCATGCAGTGCACTCTAGATATACCAAGAGATGTGTATTGTGTGAGAAGTATTTCCTTCCTCAGGGGAGAAAAATCATATTACAGTTGCAAAATTGACTTGCAACTGTATATTTTCCCAATGACAAATTAATTTGCACTAAACAGAGGTGCCCCCCCCGCCCCGTTCTACAGTCAAATGTATCAGATAAATGAAAGTCATGCACTTCTATTGTGTTTAGAGGTGTATGATCTTCTTGTGGCTCCCATGGAAAAAAAAAAAAAAAACCAAACTGAAAAGAAAACTAATAGTGTGGCTCTTAAAAGCTATTTTTGATGGCTGTTATCAGGCCTGTGTTTTCATTCTGCTAATGAGGAATGAAGATCAAGCAGGCAGTTTTAAGTGCTGTCTTTGAAACCATTTGCTCAGCTCTTGCTGCTTATAGATTTTGTCTGCAAAAAAGTATTAGGACTTCAGCAGTGTCTGATTTAGAAGCCCAGTGCCAAGCTCCCCAGCTTCTTTTGAAGCCCACTGGTGAAAATTAAGATTCTAGTATTTCAGTGTATTTTGTCAAGAGACTGCTGTTCAACTATGGGACACTTTTGCTAATAAAATCCTCATTAGAAGTCGGTGCTGTCCTTTGGCTTCAGCTTCACCTTCTCTGGTCACACTCATATACAACTGACTTGTGAGAGTAACAATTAAGGGAGTGGCAGTAGAAATCTTTCCTCAGCTTTGTCAAAGACTTTTCAAAGACTATTCAGAGCAATGAATATCTGGAAGGTAAGAAAGAGTTTGGTGCTTTTCTCTATTGCAGTTACTCTGTGAGTACTGAACTGTCTGCTTACTTTCCCAAGACGTCTTCCCAATGATTTGCCTTCAGATCAAGATACCTGTGTTGGTTTTTTGGACAACTTTTTGTGAATGTGCCTTTAAGAAAAAATGAGCCTTTAAGAAACAATATGTGAGATTTTAATTGCTAGAATTTCAGCATATATTGTCTGTTAAGATTGTGGTGATACTGGGAGAGCTTGGATCCTACTAGGGCCTTGTTTAAGTCTGAAGGCAGGATACAAATCAAAAGAGAGGAGAGAGGAAAAAAAACGGGAGGGGGGCACTGCTCTACCCCAGGTGTTTTCTACTTAAATTCCCACTTCTGTCAGTCTGAATTTCTTACTAGAGTGCAGCCAAATCAAGGATATATTCCTACCTTGCATATTTTTTTCTTCCCAGGCAAATAAGGTCATTGATTCCCAGCACGCCATCAGTCTGTCGTGTTTCAGAAACCTGAAAATGCCAGCAGTTTTTACATAGGCTCTCTCTGTGTAGCTATCTGTATTTATGAATAAATAATTGTAGAAATTAGTCGTGTGTAATGCCATACAGATTCAGCACTGCTGTTCCCTGATGCACATCTGGACTCACGAAGCAATGGATCAATCCGTCTTAGGAGTTTTTTTCCTTCCACTTCTGTAATTTTAGTGATCTGATACCATTTAGAGTAGATAGAAGCACAAGGGGTTTTTTTCCTGTAGTATCAATTTGCATGTCTTTGAATGCATACTGGTGTTTCCCACCCTTCCTTAATTAGAAGTATTATCCTTGCAATGTTATTGCAGTGAAACAGACTACAGACATTATAATGAATGATGTATTAGGCAGCACTTACGGTACTTCTTTTCCACGGTTGAAAGGTGGGTCTGTACAGTGTGCAGTATTTCTGCCTTTGTAGTACTGAATGAATATTGTACTTTTATTGATGGTTTGTTTTAGTCCTTTAAGTGATGTTTATTTGTTCTTGTGCAGTCAGTTTAGAAAGTATGCATTTAAAACAAATTTTTTGGTCTTTTTTAGGTTCGTTTTCTGTCTGATCTTGTGAATTGTCACGTAATAGCTGCACCTTCAATGGTAGCTATGTTTGAGAATTTTGTGAGTGTGACACAGGAGGAAGATGTACCCCAAGTAAGCAAAAGATCTGTAGGCTGTTTTCACAATTGCTGTTTTCACAATTTTTCTGTGCCATTGCTTCTGTACTTGTGCTTAGAACGGTGAAATTTTAGAGAGTGCGAGCTAAATTGGACTGTTGTGAGCAGTTTCTTTAGCATGACTAAAAGAAGCCTGTGGCAGTTAGAAAATATATGCATACAGTAAGAAAGTATGGTCCTTTATAGTGAGGTAGCTGAAGTGAATTCATTTTACTTTACTTTGGCAAGTGCATAGTGCCTGGCTTGTTCTGCTGTATTGATGATCTGCAGGAGGACTGTGAAAGTGATACCATTTCTTAAGTCTGCTTGTCACAATTCAAGTTAAAAATTATACATTTCAAGCAAGAGTATATTTTTTTCATGGCATGGCAATCCAGTCTTTAACTGCTGGTCTTTACATGCTGCCAAAATAATAGTTTTGCTAATGTTGTAATTTAAATTAAAATGGAGCGTGTGTACAAAATCTTTTGGAGCTTACTTGTATACTTAGATTTCAGAATATTTCTTTCCTATAGGTGCGGTGTGACTGGTATATGTTTGCATTTCTGTCTTCTTTGCCTTGGGTTGGAAAGGAGTTATATGAAAAAAAGGATGCCGAAATGGATCGCCTCTTGTCTCAGACAGAAAGCTATTTGAAGTAGGTTGTAACCCATGAAAAAAACTCTAATCGGTATCCAAGTCTGGATTAATACCTTTGATTATTGCTCACTTAAAAGTATTCTAAAGTCTTAGGTCTGAACCATTCTGTGGGGGGAAAAAAAACCTGAAAATAGAATAGGTGGAGAGATTTTTTAATTTGAAAAGTTTTGTTTTCTTGTCTAGTTCTAGGATATGTTGAAGGTCTTGTTCTGCTCATGCTGGAGCAGCTGCAGTTATAAGTGTGCTGTGAATACTGATAGGTGGTTGTGTTAGTGCTCTGCAGTGTGACTGCTTTCTGTCTAGGTGCTTCAAGTTAACATTTTTGTCAAGGTATGATAATAGAGATATTTTAAGTAATCACAAAGCTGGTTTTTATATATTGTAGACTTCATCAGCTGAAGACATCAAATAGTAGTACACTCGCAATAAGAAAAAAATTGTTGCCCTAAATTAGTCTTTTAAAGGTCAAGTTTTCCTTCCTATGTAAACAGACGCCGTCAGAAGATCCATGTACCCATGCTCCAAGTCTGGACTGCTGATAAACCACATCCACAAGAAGAGGTGAGTGGACTTTACGTTGCATTCTTTCAGAAGGTTTGAGAAACAATGTTTTACTGAGGTGTTCTTTTACCATGAAATTAAAAGGTACCTCTAAAAGTATTAATGCTTTGAGTTGTCTCCTGTTTGTCATTAATTCTAACAAGTTCTACACGAGGAATTCTCTTCTAGGTGTTTTGTTGTTTGCTGACAGGCCCCTGAGGAAATGTTGTGAAGTGAGGAATGGTTGTACATTGTAGTATTTGTTTTGGAATTGCAGGTATGGGGCTTCATGTTAAGAGGACATTTCTGAGAAGCAGAATGTAATTCCATACTTATCCCTTAATGTTTTTCTTCTGCAAGAAAGAAACCTTTGTAGTGGCTGTGCGTTCTCAGCTCTAGGAAGTGCTAAACAAATACATAGAAACTGTATGTGGCAGTTACTGTGCCATCTTTCACAATTAAACCAAAAATACTGAAGGGGAGGGGTAGCATCTGGCTAGTTTGGGGTGGAATTTATCTTTTCAGATATTCTTAGGTTTTTTACCTTTCCCCTAAGTTTGAGGACAAACTTAGTTGGAAAGTGAGATCTAAGCTGCTCTTCTGGGAAGTTTTGGAACATGGCCCTCTTACATTTTGTTCACTGTTCTGATTAAATCACAGTCTTAACAATTGTCTTGTTAATCATAATTTGGAGAGATAGCCTGTCTGATTATGATTGATTTGTCAATATGAGTATTCTGCCTGCCAAATATCTGAATTTCCTTCTTTCGCTCAATAGAGGAGAGATTAGCAGAAAGTGTTTGAGACCATGTGTTACCCAGAGTACTGCAAACGTGACTGTTCACTTCAGGTGCTAGTTGTTGCTAGTTTTGTTCTCATTTTGTAGTGGGATAATTTCAGTAAATGCAAAGCACTTCCATGTAAAGACATTCCTTGCACCAGTTATAACTTGAAACTTGCGTTCAGTAAGGCCACAGGCCTCCAGAGTTCTTGGACTGCTTTTAGCAAGAGAGTAATTAAACAAAGCAAGACTATTGCCTGTTGCACAGGTGTCTGTGCCATCTCTGGGAGAACACTGGGACTCACAACTGTGTTGAAAACCATGGCAAAGGTATTTAATATTTGATAGTATTTTATTTGTCTTGAGTATGCAGTAGGTGGTAGTTTTGATCGCTCTGGGAACAGCATGGCAGTCCTACAGAATGTTTTTCCAATTTTAATGTTGATATTATGTCTGTTTTAATACCACCAATGAGCAGTGATGGAAGTAGTATTCACTGCTGTAGTTGCGCTGGCAGATTCAAAGGGTGACCATCATACTCGGACTCCTGGGCTGCCTGTTGGTGTTTAAAAACCTGCCAGCGGTTAAATTTTACTAACACAATGTTGTGTGGAATTAGGAGCAGCTCTGGCATTTAGAGTTCTTAAATTATTTCTTGGTTTACTGAATCAGCAGTTTTATTAAACTGTTTGTTTTTTTCTGAATGGAATACAGAATTTAAGAAACACATTTCTGATAGTTCAGGGAGCTGCCAGCTTTGTTTAGAGATTCAGTGCATCTGATGTTTCTCACGTTTTTGCTTCAGTATTTAGACTGCCTTTGGTCTCAGATTCAGAAGTTGAAAAAAGACCGGTGGCAAGAACGGCACATTCTGAGGCCCTACTTGGCTTTTGACAGCATTCTTTGTGAAGCGCTGCAACACAATCTGCCTCCGTTCACTCCTCCACCTCACACCGAAGATTCAGTGTACCCAATGCCAAGGGTTATATTTAGGATGTTTGACTACACAGATGATCCTGAGGTATGTGATTGCTGTGGGGGATGGTGAGCAGATTTCACAGTTAGGTTCCTGAGGCAATATTGATCAAAATGTGATGTCACCTCTCCCAGGATAGTGAGTGATTTGAAGACGAGCAGCAGTTCTGCTTTGGTACTTCTGAATAAATGAATGAAGTGACCAAGTTACTGTACGAAGCAAATCTGTGAGGAGCAGAATTTAGGGAGTAAGATGTTGTGATGCTTTCATTTAGAATGACAATGTACATTGAATTCTCCAGTAATGTCTCCAGTAAAACTACACTCAGAGAGACTTGTTTTCCATAAAGTTGGTGACTTGAGTCTTTTTCCAGGCTAGGTATTTTTTGTAATGTTTAAAAACTGTTGTTTATTCATCTGTTAAAATCTGTTGATGCATATTGTGGAACAAACGAATGCTTGATTGGGGTGGGTGAAAGATCTGTCTATCTCAACAGTCTGCCTCCAGCATTGGTCAACAGCAGATACATACACAAAAGTGTACAGGAATAGGGAAAGACTATATACTGCTTTCCCCAAGTGCTTTTATACCTCCCTTTGCTTTAAGTCCACTGCCTTTTACCTTCCTTTATCAGCCCCTGTTTTTTGCAATGAACAAGACCATAACTGTGTATTCTTTCCACTCTATCCTGGCCATTCCTGGCTTTATTTCTTTATTGTATTCCAGCTCAGATGTGATTTTTGTGTTGTGTTTTTTTTTTTCCAGGCTGCATGGTGTAGCCTGCCTGATGGCTCCACAGAGCAAAGGAAGCAGCAGTTGCTACATGACCTTATAATCATTCTCTAACTTTGTTCCCCGCCCTCCCCTTTGTTTTTTTGTAATGAGTCCTAGTATTCATTTTGTTTTAAACATCAATCTGAGGTTTGTGTGAAGCTGTATCACACCAGCTTCTCAGTCCTGAAGGACACAGGGCAGCTGAGACCTCACGGTGTTTATGTGGATGTTGGACTACTTTTTCCACCTGTAAATGTATGTAGGATAGCTTGCTACCTGTAGTACCACTGTATTAGCAGTGATCTTTCATGAGTCTTAATTCTTTCTTACCAGGGCCCTGTCATGCCTGGCAGCCACTCTGTTGAACGATTTGTAATAGAAGAGAACCTTCACTGCATCATCAAATCCCACTGGAAAGAGAGAAAGACTTGGTAGGAAGAGCTTAGCACTACGGCGCCCTTGCACTTTTTATATGCTACCATGGCTTTGGTGCCATCAGGGATATACAGAGTCGTGCACTGGTTAGACAAAAGCTCAAGATTAAACATTTGATGAAACTTGATTTGCTTTATTTAACTGTATTAAAACTGTTGCCTGGAATACTGTGGGTCTGTAATATCCAGATAATGGAGAGTCCGTATGATCCAGGGGGACAGTGGCTCCTTGGGAAGGGAAATCCTTGTTAATACAGGATGTGCTGCAAAAAATACACAGACACACCTCATTCTTTATGGCAGCACTGTGGAGAGTGTGGTTGTGTTATGCTTCCTGGAATTTTGAAGCAGCTGACCTGTTGGGGCACAGTAAGCCTTGAGCTGGTTCATCTGCAGCTGACTGTGCACTGGTGTTTATGAACACAGTTCTGCTTCCTACTGTTCCTTACTGCATTCTTCTCTTTGGGATTACATGGCAGAGATAATTGAGCTTGCTTTGGGGAGTCGTTGCAGGGCCAGCAGATTTCATTAGTTTGAATTCAGCTGTGCCAGGAAGCAGTCAGGGCGCTTTTTTTCTGCCTGAGCAATATCTGATGTGGGTAATTGATAAGTGAGATGGTTTGCCACAGGTAATTAGCTGTGTCATGCTTCCAAATGAAAACCACCAAACTTTGTATAGTATGCAAGAAATGGGCAGAAACAATGTTTTTGGTGATGGCATGTGATAAAGTTTTTTGGTTCCAGCTGTTTGATTCAGCAGAAACTAGAAATTCAGGGTTGTTGAGTTACTGGGATAGTCTTTGTTAATTCTCAGAGGAAAGTAAAAGACTAGAGGGAGATACAAGATTTGCCAGAAAGGTAGAAATAAAATAAAGGAAGTAGCAGTTGTTTGCTTTGTACTAATGATAGGTGATAATGAGCTGATTAAAAGATGAAGCATTTGAAGCCTGAGAGTTTCTTATATAACCCATTAGCTTAATTGTGCTTTCAAGTAATTCTGAACATCTGTTGTTTGGGGTTTTTTTTTCCTTTTCATATATGCATGCCAGAATTGCAGATCACCATGACTATTTATGCAAAACTATTTTGCATAGCAGTATAGTGTTGAAGTGATGTAACTACATAAGAGAAAATACATCGTTACAAATCATAGTTTAGGCAATTCTGGTGTGTTCTTGTGCTGTTTCAAAAAGTGTTTTATGGATTGATGGACAGACTTTGGAAGGATTGTTGATTTGTTTGTGCGGCTTTTGTGTGAACTCTTGCCCAGAATTAAGCATTTTCTGTAACTTTGTTACTTGATCTTTACATTACATTTGCTGTGTTATGTTCTGAACTAAATGTATCTGTGGTTTTGCAGTGCTGCACAGCTGTTGAGCTATCCAGGAAATAACAAGATCCCCTTGAACTACCACATAGTAGAGGTATGGATTTTATAGATAAACTCTTTTTTGTAGCTCCATTATTTCACGAGTAACATGTCCCAGTGAGTTCCATGGTAAATCCATTAAATTACAGTTTGATTTGGGAGTCACCCAGAACCTTGTTGAATTCAACCAGTGGCTTTTAAATGACAGGGTTATGTGCAGTTGAGAGTTAGTTTTATGCTTTTTGTTGTCGTTTTAACTTGATGCATGGGAGCTTTGGTCAAGTAGCAAAATTTTTTAGTGCATGAGTAATCCAGGTTGTGGCATTTTGCAAACTTTCAGAGTTTTACATATGATGCTTGTAGTGTATCACGCAGTCTAAGAGATGGCTACATTTAAGTCACTTGTATTTTAATTCAATTTCTTTTAAACTAAAAGAAGAAATACGTGCAAACTGAGATACAAGAAACTCCATTTAAACATAAGAAAAATCTGTTTTTACTGTGAAGGTGATTAAACACTGGAAGAGTTTTCCCAGAGAAGTTGTGGAGTCTCTATCCTTAGAGAAGCTCAGAACCTAATAACCTGCTCTAGGTGACCCTCCCTTATGCGGAGGGCTTTTGACTAGATGATCTCCAGCCAGACTCAGCTGTTCTGCATGATTTATGTTTGGGTGTTCTAAATGATTTTGTTCTACTGGCTCTGAAAAGAACTTGCAGTGAAATAGTGGCATGTTTCCTCCGGGGCATCCTCCATGTCAGAGAATTTTTAATAACTGTAATGTGTATCAGAAGAGCAGCACAGGTTTTCTTTTGCTGCCTCCTTTCAAGGGTCTGTTTTCAAGATGCAGAGGTGGATAAAACTTCATCAGTTTCCATCAAAGGTTGAAAGGGATTAAGAGATTTCAGTAATAATGGCAACTTGTCATATGTAGGCTTTATGAAGAAGTAAATGTAAGGAATTTCAGAAGATTCCTCTTAATAAAAGTGAGATTGAGAGTTCATCTTGGCACGAGAATGCCAAATACTCTGAATGCTGTAAAGTTACATTAGTTTTGGTCAGCTTGTTCTTTTTGTACTCTGTATTCAGAACAGGGGAATCTTAAAATTAACAATAATTTTCTGCCTTAACATCGAAGTATCTTCAATGGTCTTATCTTTAGTATCTTCAGGTGCTGTATATGGCTGTGTGCTCAGCTGTACATACACTAATGCCAACAAATAGTTACTGTATTCCTGATGAAATAGGTTACCTAAAGGCCCTGGAAATTCTTTGATTCAGAAACTTGTAGGATGTGAAAATAGCAAAGGTTTGCCTAGATGAAATTACTGGAAAGAGGTGCAAGGTTGTTGTACAAATTCTTTTACTATTACTGTAATAATATTCTTTTTCTTGCAATTTTGAATTATTTTTTAATATTAACTTCATTACTTGTCTATGACTGCTTACTTTTAATGAAGCTCCAGAGTTTTAAAGGCTTAGAAAGATATTTTTTTTTCAGGCTTCTGTTCATTCTGATTACTGCTTCTCCCTTGTAAGCTCTCTCTTAACGGTCAAGTTGGTGATATGTTGCTTTCAACAACAGTTTAACAGTTTAACCTGTGAAATTTCACTAACTTTTTCAGTAAGTCACAGAACTGTGGAAATAATACAGTCAAACAAGTAATGTAAAGTGTTATTTAAGGTTCAGAACGTAACAGTTAGGCAGAAATAAATGTAGCCTGAAAGTGGTTGTCAGTACCTTCCCAAGTATGCCTACTTTTGAGGTCCCTGAGGCTCCACATTGTAATTTGTCAAGCCGCGCACAGAATGCTCCATGCTACCTGGAATCTGTGCGAAACACTGAAACATGGGGCCTTTCTCTCTCTAGCTTCTTACAGATATGTATGTGGATATTTCTGGTAGCTGTGAACAGAGAATGTCTGGGCAGCCTTATTGGCTTTTTGGACCACTATGCCCGGTTGTGCTCCTACAGCTTTTGGTACAACTTACACTTGACAGAGTTCAGACATTCAGATCATCAGCATCCTGATCTTTCTTGTGACCTTGTGGTTTTCACAGAGTGTGGTATGCCAGTTTGAAACTCTTAATCTGAATGATAATGAACATCTGATGATTATCACAAATAGTTTTATGCAGTATCTCAAACAAATAATGACTGATCATCCAGTTGTTGTTATTTCCTATCTTGAGAAAAGGAGCAGTTTTCTACCTAACAGGGTCCCCCCTGCCTTTTTGCCATATTGTCATGGTTTAACCCCACTTGGCAACTAAGCACCACACAGCCACTTGCTCACTCCCCCCGCAGTGGGATGGGGATGAGGGAGAGAATCAGAAAAGTAAAAGTGAGAAAACTCATCGGTTGAGATAAAGACCATTTGATAGGTAAAGCAAAAGCCGTGCACTCAAGCAAAGCAAAATAAGGAACTCGCTCACTACTGCCCATCAGCAGGCAGGTGTTCAGCCACCTCCGGGAAAGCAGGGCTCCATCATGCCTAACAGTTACTAGGGAAGACAAATGCCGAAACAAACTCCAAATGTCCCCGCCTTTTTTCTTCTTCCCCCAGATTTTTATTGCTGAGCATGGTATTGTATGGTCTGGAATATCCCTTTGGTCAGTTGGGGTTGGCTGTCCCAGCTGTGTCCCCTCCCAACTTCTTGCACCCCCAGCTTGCTTGCTGGTGGGGTGGTGTGAGAAGTAGAAGAGGCTTTGACTCTGTGTAAGCACTGCTCGGCAACAAGGAAAACATCCCTGTGTTATCAACACTGTTTTCAGCACAAATCCAAAACATAGCCCCATACTAGCTACTATGAAGATTAGCTGTATCCCAGCCAAAACCAGCACACATATCTGTCTTAACAGTATGTCCAAATTACACTGTTACAGAAAGGTTCTTTAGCTCTTTACAGTGTCTTCATGATTTCAAGTCCTTCCTTAGAATGACCAGTTCTAGTCAATGTGTTTTTCTGTGCTGTTTGTGCAGTCTATAAATGGATGTTGATTTCTTACACTAGTAAGAAGATTTTCTAAAGCTTACTTATTTAAGCTGCAGTTCTTCCGTGTCTATTCAGAAGTTTAAAGAGGAAATTGACCAACCATAAGGAATCAAAGTTTCCCGATTCCTTTGATGTAATTTAAATCTAGTTGAGGATGGCATGCAAAATAAACAGAAACTCAGAGATGAATGTTGTACTATGATGGTCTTTTTGTAGCCCTCAAAGATTGACATGCTGTTATTATAGACAAACTTGAAAATAAAAACATGAATGTTGACTGCAGGATTGTTTTCAGTTTTCTTAGAAGGATCTGCTGCCAAGGGGTACGTAGCATATATTTTTGTTGTATGAAATGCTGGTTGTAATTTTCAGTTGAAAGTTGTGGCTTTACTTATGTAAGTTTGTGTCTAGGAGAAAAGAGGACATGATGGAAAAGATACAGATGTACTTTTAATGCAAATAGTCTTTCATACTAAATGCTTAGGCTTCATTTAATATGTTTAATATTTATATTTATTATTTAACAGGATCAGATGATTTCTGCTTTTCTCAGATCATGTGGTAGCACTACAGGAGGTCATATTATAACTATGCCCATTTCTACATTATGTAATGTATTTGTTAGACATAATAGGTATATAATGCTGGTTTTGTGTTAGTATGATATGAGAAGGGCAGTTAGAGTGGACTCTATTAGAACAGTATAGGGTTACCACTACCTTTATAAGTTTCTCTTTTTCCCAGAACATGCATTTCACAGAATAATATGGGCCTTTTTGGGTTTGTAATTGTTTAAGATCCATTGATTGCCACTATTGCGAAGCTGAGGGTTGTGCAGGCCATGTCGGACTGTGCTCTTGATTCTGTGCCACCTTCTCCTACAGGTAATATTTGCAGAATTGTTTCAACTTCCATCTCCACCACACATTGAAGTCATGTACACAACGCTCCTGATTGAACTGTGCAAACTTCAGCCTGGCTCTTTACCACAAGTTGTATCCTTTCTGCGCTGCTGGAGAGCATTTATTAAAATGCAGTCTTTATTTTGTTTGTTCTGTAGATGGTGGGATAGCAATAAATACTGGTGGTATTAATATTTTGCAGCAGCTGCCTGAAACTTTGCCTGTAACACTCACATGAAAGAATAGCACAGCCCACTTAGCACAGGTCTAGATTTGCCAACTGGGCAAGACTCTTCAATTTTCTGGACAATGTTCTGGTACTTCCTCTGACCTTCCCAAGAAGTGCTGTTTTGGTGAGGGGATAAAATACAATACTCCTGTTTGTCACTGCAGCCTGTTCGGGCCTGGACAATGTGTGGCATGGTCACAGACACAATAAAGGCTGAGAAGGAAAGGAAGTGACAGACTTGATCTTTTGTTCTAACAACTGTGTGAATGCTCCTACTCTTTTTTTAGTAGGAAGTGTAGCAGATGATTTAAAGGAACTTGCCTGAGTTCCCACTCAGTGCTTCCACTAGAAACATTCAAAAGGTCCATAATCATCTGTCACCTGAGACAGGGTGGCTAACTGCTGAGGAAGGAGGCATGACTCCTAGCTAATTCTGGCTATTACATTGCCCTGACTTTGCTGCCATTTTAGATCACATTAGATCATTGTTTTAGATCAAGCTACAGACTGAGAATGGACGATGGCTACCAGATGTCTATCCACTGGCAATTTCATGTGCAAATTTTTGGTCTACTTCATGATACCACTCACTGTTTGCAAATCACATATCTCAATGATTAGAGCCAAATCTGTTTCTAGAGTTGGGCGGATGTCCATGCAGAAAGTTTTTAATGTTAAATAGGGACACCATAAGAAGGATAAAGGCCTTGTTGGGTAAAGTCAGTGTAGACATACTTTCTCAAGCCTTCAGTGATGATCAAGGATTGTTTGTGGATAAGCATCAACAGCAGCCCATGAAGCTAGACTGGTGAGATTACAGAAGTACTCCATGAGGAGGTTGGTGTCTGTTCATATCAGTGGAGTTTTGCTTGTTGCATGACATGAATTCTGGCTTTCTATGGATGAAGGCAACAGTCTCATTGCAATAATGGAAGAAAACCAGACTGGAATTAGAGGGCAGAACTCATAATATGCTTCACTTTTTCCACTGTGGATTTACTGTGATTTACCTGATTTTGGAGTAGACCCAGGGAGCTTTCAGTACAAAAAATTGATAACATTCTATTAAAAAACTGAAGGGAATAACATCTGACTTATCTAGTGCTTTTCTGTAACCCTTAATAAGAAACTTCCAGCTTGCACAAGCCACAGAAATGCTCTACATGCGTTTGGATACAATGAATACAACATGCGTGGACAGGTAAATTTGTTTTGTTAGACGATGGAAAACATTCCTCAATATCCGATGTACAGGAAAAATGAAGAGGCGATGGAAAGAGTAGTCAGAAATTGTTGGTAGAACTTCTTGATGCTATTCAAAATATTTTCTGGGCTCTGGCTTTGAGCAAGAGAAGGTGGAGGACTGACTGCTTGCCTCTCCTTCCCAGAAACGCTCCCCCAGAGGTTGGAAGTCTAGCTGTCTGTACAGGACAGTTAAAATTGGTGACAACTTTTCTGTGTTCAAAGCTGTTCATAGTTGCATAGTACTCTATTATTTAGTACTATGCCTGCTCCCTAGTAGTCTGGGAGGCGACTTGGAAGTAGAGTTTATGTGCAGCCCAGAGGAAGAGAGTGGTGGTGATTTTGCTCTTTGAGTGAAGTCTGCATTGTGTAGGAGAGCTGTTAATTACTCATCAAAAATGTGGAAGTTGCATATTCACAGTAAGTTTACACTTTAATTGTCAGGTCATAGTTAATAGGTTATCTCTTTGTATGAAACAACAGAACATGACAGGCTGTCTATTTGTTGATAAAAGGTTCTTTCTGACTCTCTGAACTCAGTCTTTTTTATCTGTCGACATAAATGCCTGTTTAATGCTGTAATAGCTTTAGAGTTTAGGCTTCCCTTTGGAAAGTAGAATGCATTTATAAGAAAAATCTCAACTGAAAGTTCTCCTGCACTTCTGACATTTAATGGAGCTTTCTTTCTCTTTTAATAAAGATTTATTAACTGGTTTTCTCACCACTTGAGCAACTTCCAGTTCCGTTGGAGCTGGGAAGATTGGTAAGTTTCTCTCCTTTTGATCTGAACCTGATATTGCAAAAACCTTAACATTTCAAACTTATCCAGGAAGTGTCACAGCATAGTGGCCCTGTTAATTGCTTTCCTCCAGCTCTTAGAGATCTTTCCTAATCTGTTCACCACCACCCAGTGGTAGATTATCAAGATAATCTCTTTAGTCACTGTGTTGTCCCTGGTGAACTTCACGATAAATCCAGTGTAAGCGTTCCCTAAACAGGGGAAGTAGAAATGTGATTTCTTTAATTTGTCCTGCACCCACAGTCAGTTGCTAGCAAACTTTCCTAAATGACTCCCCAGTTTACTTTTAATGGTTTGCCCTGCCTTTCTGTATTCATTCTGTAATCTTGCTCTCTGTCCTACCCTAAACCTTTCATTATAACCTTTATCCTTGAGAAATTGTGATCTCTTTCCCTCCTGCCAACTCCAAGCACCTGAAGTTCCATCAGAGCTGTCCATGCCATCCATTCTTACCATGCCAAATGTTGAACTCGCATCTCTAGCAGGAGGTCCCTGGACTCTTATCAATGTCTCACTACAGGTTCCCCTGAGCTTTCCATTTTAGGCACCCATGTAGCAAGAGAGGTTACCTTGCGGTTAAGTCCTCCCTACAGTAACTTCCACAGCCTGCTACCATACATGCTTTCTGTAGCTGATCTGCCCAGGTGTCCTTGTGGAGAGGGGTGCAGCTCCTGTGATATGTTTTTGTGGCTTTACTTTAAGTTTTGTGTTGTCCTTATGTGGAGTTAAGTGTTTGCTGGCTATCATCATACACATCCATGTTGACTGACTAGGCAGCAGTTTTCAAAGAGCTGATTTTTGTTTGCCTGGGTGTTCCTTGATGACAGTGCTTCTGTGGGTCTCTCACAAGCTGCCATTTTTCACAAATCTTGCAAGTGACTGTATTTGAGACCTTTCTTTCTCTGAAATGCATTTGAAATCAGCCAGAAATTTTAAAAATTCCTGTGAGGGAGGAACAGACTATGAAATCACTCAAGGTTCCTTTCCTAAGGAAAGGGAAAGCCAGCTAACTGTAAGCACAAATTATTTTTAATCTGGTGGGGGAAGGGAAGCTACTTGAAAACATATCACACAGAGATGAGATTCCAAGAATGCTAATGGCCAATAAGGAAATAGTGATAAGCTTACCTCATTGTCTTAAAATTGCCTATGCTGTAAAACTAAGTGTCAAGCACTCCAGTTGTCCTTAGACTGTGATTGTTTTGTACCTATTAGACCAAGCCAAAAAGAGACTAAAGCACAATTTCTTTTGCTAAAAGCTATCATATTCTGTCCTTTGATAGGTCAGATTGTCTTACTCAGGACCTTGAAAAGCCTAAACCCAAATTTGTGAGAGAGGTTTTGGAAAAGTGCATGAGGTAAGTAAGATCTTTTGATAGTTGCATTCCAGGCAAAGTTTGATCTTTGCTTCTGGATACTGTCAGATTCCTTTTAACTTTACTTTTGTCTTAGGCATGTCTGTTCTTACAATTCTGTTTCGGTTAAGAGATGAGTCTGTTGTTTGTATGATTTTAATCTGGTTTACCTGCTGTAGGACACTTAGGACACTACTTTAGAGACCAGGAGAAACAGGTCGAGCAGATAGTAGTGAGCTAGCTATCCCAGGTATGCACACCTATAGTTACAAAAAGATATGCTTCACCATAGGCATGGAAAAAGGGTTCAGGTAGTATTCCTGGAAAGTATTCAGCATTCACAGAAATGAAAGGAACTGATCATTAGTTACATTCGAAACTGAGAATCTAATCTTGATTCTTCTAGGTGCCTCTGATGTTCAGTGACCTTAAAACAACCAACCCTCCAAACAAACAAAAACCCCAAACCCAACAACAGGAGTACACAATCAGGGCTGGACTTAAAATTGTTGAGATAGGGGGATATAAGAGAGAGAAAGAGCAAAATGTTCAAAAAGCCTATGTTACTCGGTATCCTGCATGAAACCATTCATCCATTTTTGGATGAATTCAGTACAGGAAGTGTGAAAGTATTGTGCTGCAAAACGAATACCATTTTTCTGTGGCACTCTTCCATTTCACTGAAAACTTTGTTAGTAAAATTAAGCCTTTGTGGGAGTGAAATAAGCTGGAAAGTAAAATGAAGACATCCAGTTTAATATTTTTTCTGCTTTGAATACCAGCGTCTTAACTAGTTTTCTGCAGCGCATCTTAGGCTTTTGCATAAAACATCCTACCAGGCAGCCTCTAAATCTTTTCACAAGCTAAATTTATTGGATGAGGATGAAACTCTAGCATCACAGAGTTCAAATAGAAAGCATCTACTAGTAAATTGGGTTTACTTAGCTCTTACTGCCCAGCAGAAACTACCATTATGTTGTATAAACATCCTGATTTTTGTTCTATGAAAGTTAAATATAGGAAAACCATTATAAAGCAGTCACTTTAGAATTAGCCCTGGTGTTACTCCCATTTTAATTCTACTACTGTGAAACTTGTTATTTCCAGACTCTCCTACCATCAGCGAATAATAGACATTGTTCCTGCAAGTTTTTCTGTCCTCAGTCCTGCTAATCCAGTGTGCATTTACAAATATGGAGATGAAAGTAATAGTAAGTATTAAAGTTACTGAGGGGTCAAGTTAAGAAAATAGTGTTTCAGAGCAAGGGAGCACATTAGACTGTAATATCAGTTGTCTTCATAGAGAAGAATACAGCTGAAATAATTATGCATGATTTTCATATGGGTAGATATGCTTCATGTGAGCAATTAATACATATTAAGCCTGGAGCTCTGTACTGTAATCCTCTTTATTACTTTATGAAGAAAAGAAAATCCAGATACATGAAGTTACTCTTGCTGAGGTGGTTGTGGTGTTGTACAGCATTGTTTGCCGGAAGTCTAAATTGGAAAACTCATCTATTTCCCCGGTTTGGGCAAATACTATGCAAAAGTCAGCATATAAAGTGATAATATGAGTTTATTTTTTGAACTTCATGAAACAGTAGAAGATTTTACCAGTGAACTTGGTTTAATGAAGCATACAGAGGCAGCAGATGATGTAAAGATTGAGATAGAGAGATACCTTATTATTCCTTTTACTACTCAGTGAAAGACAATCCTAAGCATAGAAGTGTCATCGTCAAAGACACAGTGAGGAAAAACAAGGAAGTATTGTATTTTTAGGAAATTCGTGAAAGCTGAAGTAGAGCTTTAGATGGGAGAGTGATTACCTTACCTCAGTTCTAAAGGTTCTACTGGAAGTTTTGTATTTAACGTGAAGACCAGGAAAAGTGTTGAGCAGTTTTATGGAATAGTGATGTGGACAATGATAATAGAAACAGCTAGTTTTAGGTGTAGTTGGGAAGTGTACTTGTTTCTCTGAGAGACAAACTGGTGTTAAAAATAGTCACTTGCCTTCGACGTATTTTGATCTCTTTGCTCTTGTTTAGGGTCTCTTCCTGGATATACTGTGGCACTCTGTTTAACAATTGCAATTAAAAATAAGGCCAGCAATGATGAAATCTTCAGCATTTTAAAAGATGTGCCCAATCCAAACCAGGATGATGATGATGGTAAGATATATGCTGCTAGGCTTTGGCAGGCTGTAATTTCTTTTGTGTGTAGAAAGATCTGCCATCCTTTGGAGCTATGAGTGTGGTGGTGAACAGAACTATATGCTTTTCCTTCTAATAGTTGGTTTAAATTTATCAGTAAATGGAAGTAATACACCATTGTTAGGGGTTATTGTAAACATCTTACATGCAGAGGCAGGCCTGTTTTTCTTAACAGAGGTAACCTAGTGCTTGAGGTGTGTTTTCTTGTGACTATTGACAGATGTGGCATGAAAGAACTTAACTTTCCTTTGCCTTCAGCAACAGAGTGCAGTTCATGCTGTTTTCCTTACCTCTGAGGTTCAGCGCTTGTGCCCTGAGAGCTTCCCTTCCCTTGGTGCGCTCCCACGACAGATAAGATAGCCAGCCTGCTGGCTGTAGTCTTCCATGAATAGAAACTCATGATGGGACTCCACTCATGTTCGTTGTAGCTTTGCAGCCATAGACAGCATTAGTTCTTAAACGCTTGTGCGTTTTAGGGAGTGAGAAGGAGTGTGAGGCAGAGAATTAAGAAGTGATCTTTACAATGGGGACAGCTTCAACATTTCTGTAATATCTGCAGGTGTTCTGTTATACAAGCAGTGAGCAGCAACTATCTGTGGTTTTTTGCCCTGGGATTCACAGTCACGTTTCCTGATTTGCTTTAGACATCACCCACTAATGAGTGCTCTCCCTCCTGCCTGTCTTCAGCTGCAGGTAGCTGCAGCTACAGGAGGGGAGTTGGCACCATTCACGCCTAGTACCCATATTTGCTATGCATGCTTGTTGGACCCTTCTCCCATGTCATAAATAGCCAACCTCTGTATCGTAATCATGCTTACCTTCCCCTCTCTTCATCCACTCTCCCTTCTTTATGGTCTGCCAGGCCTTCAGCTTGGTGCATAACTCTCCAGTTTCCTTTGCTGTCTTTCTCTGCTGCTGTCCATTGGCACTGTTACATGGTGGTAGAGCGGCTGTGTCTCTGACAGCTTCTTCACTGACCTGGAATTCTTTCTGCACATTTTCTCCGTGGCAAAATGGGAGCCTGAAGATCTGCACATCTTGGAAAGTCTTCAGTAGCTCGCTGCTGAGTCTTGCAAAACCCTGTTGATGAAACTCTTTTTTGTGAAATGAGTTAAAACCATAAGTTATCACTACAGTTTTATGAGTAGCTTACATGCTTTACTTGAAGTACTTACAGTTTCAACTTTAAATAACTTGCAGATGAAGGGTTTACCTTCAACCCTCTGAAAATAGAAGTCTTTGTTCAGACTCTGCTCCATCTAGCTGCAAAGTCTTTCAGCCACTCCTTCAGTGCCCTGGCAAAGTAAGTGTAATATGTGCGTTATTTGGGGGCTTACAGACCAGTTTAATTCTGGCACCAAAATGCATGATAAAAGAACTGGAATGCAAGCTTCAGCAATGTTTTAGGTGCTCCACAATGCACTATGATTAGGAGAACTAACGACACTGCTTACTGAAGGAATTGTAGAGTAAATCCTAGGTTATATATGTGGGTGGAATTAACAGAAATGTGTACATTACAGCCACGTGATGTAAATCAAACAAATGAGGCTGGTTTGGAACATTACTCCATTTCAAAATTACTCATTTGCTGATTATGGTGAGGAGCAAGGGTTTCTCCTTACATTTGAATCACTGGGTAACTCCCACCACAATATCTTGTACTGTATGTCTGGATGAAAATTGAGGAAAGAAAAAGAAAACATGAAACTTCAAAGCAGTCTGCTGTAAACTTCTGTCTACCAAAGAACAGTAAAATCCATTCTAAAATACTTCAGAGTGCATCCCTGAAAGATATGCTTTAACTTCTAAAGAATTTACTGCACCTTTTTTAGCAAAATGAGAGAAAATAACTGATTTTTAATCCTGTGTGCTTTGGAGTTGCTCTTAAGTGGTTTAACACATGAAAGGTAGTCACATGCATCTTAATGAGTTATTTTTCTATCTGTCCTTAAAGATATATAAAGCTGTTACAAAAACATGCACCTGGGAGCTTTATAGAGGCAATGTTGATAGGAAGCTGTAGGTAGTAACCTATAATCAGTGGTGCAAGAGGCAGAGTGACATGAATACTTAAAGCCATGGTATTTTCACTGCTGCACACCAACAGTGGCAGCCATGAGATGAAAAAGAGCCTCTTAACACTACAGTTACATTACAATAAGCTGGGTTCTGAGTGCAGTCTAGCAGTCAGCGTAACTCTGCTAAAATAGAGGCTTTTAGCAGGATTTCCTTCAGAAAGAGGCAGATTGGATAAGTGTCTAAGGTTATGAAAACACATATCAAGAGGAGGGTCTAAGGCTCAAGGCAGCAAATTTTGCTCCAGCTGTGTATAGATAAGCCCATGAGGCATGAAAGTGCCTCCTGATTTTAAGAGTATGAGAAATGTAGCCCAGCTTCAGGGAGTAGGTTCACCACTAAGATTTAAGTTGCTTTTAGGAGCTGTCATGTCTTTGTAGCCTATTTTAGCTCAGGATGGTTGTATTTTCCAGGGAATAGTTGTTCAAGAATTGCTGAAGATAGTCACAAAATTTTCTTTTGGCCAGTCTAAGCCACTTGCCTTGTATCTGCTGCTCTTTTGACCTGATCCCAACCCCTCCACTGACTACTTACATCTATTAAAAGGTTTCATGAAGTCTTCAAAACACTTGCTGAAAGCGATGAGGGGAAACTCCATGTTCTGAGGGTTGTATATGAGGTTTGGAAGAATCATCCACAGGTAAGAGGTTGCAGTGTCAAGTATCTATGTGAGTTTCAACTCACAGAGGTCATATTTTATAAAAACCATTACAGTTTGCTTTATATCCTTTAAAAATAGCATGTCTATTGTCATCTTATTTGAAGGAAAGTTCAAATTATATTTACTGGTTGTTACTAGTGCCTAAAATGAAGGCTGGAAATAAAATATATACCATCAGTGAGGCCACTTCTTCCTCAGAGTTCATTGTGGGAGGGTCAAGGCTGTCATTCTGACTCAGATTCATACTATGCTGTTTGTTGTACAAGAGAATAACTTTTGCGAAAATCATGATTCTGTTAAAAAATTGAAAAACAGTGTAGATGTGTAAATTGAAATAAGATGTAGATCTCATATCAAAAGCAGGCCAAATTCTTAGAGATGTGGAAACCTGGGGTTTGTTAGGGATTTCCCCCCTCTCCCCCAAATTGCTAGTGAAAGCCATACAGTTATTCCACAAAGCTCATGTTGAAGTCACTGTTGTGTGTGGGTAGAGTGAGTAGAGCTGCAGTCAGTGCCTGTTCAGAACAGATCAGTCTGACAGTGCCATGATTATGTTCATTCTTGAGCCAGAGGAAATAACACCCTAAAAGACCTATGAAAAATGCCTCAGTTGTTTAAGCTGTTCAGTTGCTTCACAGCAGTTGTTTTCTCCCTCAGCTGTCATTCTTCTATAAATAGAAATCGATAAGGAACTCAAGCTGAATTTTCCTGCATTAATTATTTCATGTATTCCTTACTGGTGTGTTTGTGTTACACTTTATTGGGCTTGAAAGTGGTCTGTACCTCACAGGTGCATAGGCCAGACTTTCAGAAGTGATGCCACTGAGAGCAAGGGGTAATCCTTGCATCTGCCACTGGACCTGTGGCCCATTCCTAGGGGAAAAACTGAGCGCCTAGAAGATACCTATGCAGCATGTCACCTCTCTTCTAAGTACAGTAAAAACATCAAAAAAAGCAGGATTTTTAAAATATATTAAACTTCCTACCCAAATTACTGACCTTGAAAATGTGACGATTGCAGTCTGACCTACTTTTTACTGCCATTTAACTGGATCAGAAGAAATTACATTACTGCAATCTAATATCCATATCCTCGTTGTTCCTTTGTATTGCAGCATGACCGAACTGAGATGGAGGTTTCAAACCTAGACTAAACAGTCATGTTTGATTTTATGAATAAATCAAGATTGCTTTAAAAAATACCAAGTGCAAAAGTTACAAAGGTCTGCTATTCTACTTGATCGTGCAACTTAAAATTTTCTCTCTTGCATTTATTGCAGTTCAGTCTTTTGCTTCTGGTCAAGTACTTTATTTCCTGAGTCCACAACCTCCCTAGCACACAGAACAAATGGTGCTTGGACAGCAGGACACTTGTACAGAGTCTGTTTCATGCCGCTCACCCTACTCCCATGACTATGGGAACGTCCTTTGATTTGGTTCAGCCTATCAGCAGTATTCACAAGGCATATAGTGCTAATGAGTGATCTATGCTGCAGATAGTGATTTAGCAATATGAATCAGTAGTCCCTGGACCTATAAGCAAGGTTGTGGTGGTGACTTCATAAAGAGAAACTTTAACATTGAGATTAAATGTTTTTTCAAAATCCTAGGTCTGCGTTTCTTGGAAGATCAGGCTAAGTAATCAGAAATTCTTCCTGGCAATACAGAAAGACAAATAGAGCATAGGATGCTATCCTGGGACTTGAAAGTCGAGTGCTGAGTCTTCTGTATGATTCATTCAGTTATTTTCATTTTCCTTCCTTAAAAGGAGCTTTGTTACACTTCCTTATTTGACAATGGGTGGTTGTAAGGATAAATACAGTGCAGGCTGTGGTTCTTAGATACTGTGGCATTTAAGCACATGAGTAACCAAGATAAGCCTTTTTTCTGAACAGCTTGCAACTGCTTTAGTCAGTAACTCCTCTCTGCAGTTGCCTGGTAGGTTGCTTGCAAACCCCCCCAAATGATGGCAGTGCCTGTAGCAAATAAGCATTTCCATTGACTACACAGCACTAGCTCTGTCCTGAAATGAATAGGTCCTGTAGAGAAGAGCATACTGTCACATTTGAAGACTGTTGCAGTTCAAGGAGAGTAGGCTAACAGTGGCTCCTTCGTTATGGTGATCTGACCGGTATATATGCTCTGGTTTGAGTACGTCGAGGTCAAATACTAGCACTTGCATCTTTTAAGGACTCACTTCCAACTGTGATGCTTGTATTTTTTGCTTTTTTATGGAAGCATGTATGTAACAGAGTGATATATCACTTTCACAAGAAGTAGAAAAGGTTGTTAAACAAAATTAGAATGGTTTATGTAATTTATATAGATCCCCTAATTTGAGCAGTTTTAGGCTAAACTACCCAGCTTCCTAAAGTATTTGAAATTACCCAGTAATATCACTAACATAGAGTTGCATCAAACCATCTCTGGTTTTATCTGAGGCTGGAATACTTTACACAGATTGTGTGTGCAATGTCTTTCACAAAATATAGATGATTGCTGTGCTTGTGGACAAGATGATTCGGACACAAATTGTTGACTGTGCTGCAGTAGCAAACTGGATCTTCTCTTCAGAGCTTGCACATGATTTTACTAGGTAACAAGAATTTGTCTTGGGTTGTTACTTGTCTCTGAATTACTATTTTAAGTGCCCAGTACGTAATTTAATCTATGAAAACTGAGTAGTGGAAGAAAAAGGTACAATTAAGCCTTTTCTCCTTCTACGAAAGATGTACTTTAGCATTTTTCTTTCTGAGTTGGGGTATGAATGTTTATGTGACAGTGCAAGAATGTTGCTAGCATGTCATTTTGCAAGTAGTCTCTAAGCCTGCCAAAGCAGAACACTATACCTATTTCTAGACAAAGTCTGTTGCTGCTAGCTTAGTGTGGTCCTGGCCTTTGGTTGAGTTATGTAACTTGTACCACCATTGATACATTGCTTCTTGAGAATGGGAGAATTTGTTGGACTGCGAAGTCAGTTTGATGTTGGTAGTCCTGCAGTACTTGTATAAATGACAATGCTGGTTTGGAAGTTTACTGCAAAAAATAGGAAAGAAATTATTGTTAAGCTTTCTTACATTACAGGTATGCTCTCCTATATGGCGAGTGTTTGCTCATCGAGTAGATGTCTTAAATGACGCTAAGTTCTTTAAATGCCCCCAGATACATTTTTATGTAAGAAACTACATTTAGTTTTTTATCTTGGAGTAGTGTGTAATGTAGTGTTTTGAGCTTTCTGTCTTTCCTAGGTTTTATATCTGGGAGATCTTACATTCCACAATTCGTAAGATGAATAAACATGTTCTGAAGATTCACAAGGAACTGGAGGAGACTAAGGCAAGATTGGCCAGGCAGCACAAAAGAGTAAGTAATTTGTTTGTAAGTTTTAATTATTTTAAGTTATGTTTTACAAACCTGCATGCTGTCAGACTGACACACAGTTGGTTTTGGGAAGGACTGAATAAATACATTTGTCAGGAAGCATGTCCGCAGACGTGGTCATCCGTAGCACTAAGACATCAAAAACTAGATGTATGTTCTCAGTCCACCTTTCTAATGGTAGCTATAACCTAAAAATTCAATAAAATCTTTTGGAGAATTCATATGTATTTGCCCTGTTCAAGCTCTCTCTCACAAGTTTCTCATCTAATATGAGCATGTCTTCCACTTGCCTTCTAATCTGGATTGCAATGACCTTATTAGATAACAATAAGAACAGTTACAAAATATTTACAGTAAGTTCTGTTAAAGAGTACTCTTGTGGCTTCCATGCAGAAGTGCACGGAAACAGCTATTTGCTATTGAAAAGTTGGCTGTTACTGTTCTTCTGATGGATGCTGCTGGATTCTGACACTGCTATCTGTCACTTCCTTCTTCCAGCATATTTTTCTGAATTCCTTTGCATGATCTGGGTTACTATATACAACAAACTGATGAGCAAGCAGCCGCTGTTGTGTTCTGTTGTCCCGAGTGGGACAGTAAAATGGGGTGAGACAGTGTCTAATGTGGCAGCTGCAAAAGACGGGCTCCAAGGAAGCTTGGCTGGATGCAGTACTTAGTCACGATAGAATGAAGCCAGTTTATAAACACACTGAGAGTTGCAAAGAGCAAGAGAGCATTTCCATGTTTTTATGTAGTTTGTGAGTATGATTACCAGCATAAAACCCTTAGCTAGTACCAAAACTTTGGATGAAGTTAATGTCAGAATTTGGCACTGCATGGTGCTTAGTTGCTGGCTGGGGTTAAACCACAATAATGGCACAGAGGCTGCTGATGGTTTCTGATGAAACCTGCACAAGTCAGTTATTTTTCCAGAAGTTTCTGGTGAGAGATCACTAATACCTCACAGTTTGCCAGTGTGAGTTCATCCCAGCCCCTTCATCTTGTTTCCTTCACTCCCAGCAACAGCCATCCTAGTTGCTTGCATCCTTAATCTACATTGACCGGCAGTTAATAAATGCCCATGATTTCTGAAGACCTACATGCACTCATTGATCTTAGTGTAAGGCAGAGAGCTTCTCCGGCATCTCTAAACAAATATACCAGTGTTCTCATTTCTGTACTTGTCTCTTGCTGCAGCTCTTTACTACTGAGTACTTTAAATGAGTATTGTCTCAGGAAGAAACATTTGTATGCAACAGTGAGCAGTTCTGCAGGCTGTTGCTCTGCTGCATGACCATTCCTTTTAGGGGAAGTAAGCCGTGAAGTTTTGATGTCCCCAGCATGAAGTGGATTGCCTTACTATGGAATGAGTCCAAGGCTTACATGCTTTCTCTTAGGTCTTATTGGTCCTTTAGCGTTTTGAGTTCAGGAAACCTCTGTAGATGGGGAAAAAGCAAGTTCCTATAGAGAGAATAAAATTAAATTCTCACTTGCTCTGGTAAGTAATTTTAATTTTTTATGCTGATTCAGGGCTGTAACTATCTTCTGAGTTTTCATTTGCTATGCAGTAGGTGAGTTAACACATGGCCCTATATTTGTCACAAGTTGCACATGCTCCTTTTACAAATATTGAAGTTTTGAGATGTTAATTTGTGGGTATTTTTGCACAGAGACAATCCTATGAGACAAGCAATATCTGTATTTAAATGTACCATAATCCATCAGATTCTGCTTTTCCTTCTATGTCCGTTGTAGTCTTGTGGAATACTTCATTACCTGAGCTCCCAAGTCTGGTATTTATGTGTATTTTGTGTTTTTTGGTGTTGTGTTGTTTTGTTTGTTTTTGAGGTAATGAGAACATGCCGTGTTCCTAGTTAGTTTGGTTTCCGTGCTGACCCTTTCTAGTCTGAGAGCATCCCTTTTGATCATGAATATAGGGAGTCCCCACTTTAACACCATGGGCTGCAGTCTCTAGTCTTCCTTTTGTGCTAACCAGCTGGATTCTTGTGAGTTCTTGCACAAAGTGCTTTATTTTTTGGAGCCCTGAGATTTCAGAACTGTTCATTGAATTAATTACCTGCCCTGCTGCAGTAGACACAATTTAAAATATCTACGCTGGATTGTTTTTTAAAAAGCTGTTCATTATCTGGTGATGATAAAGTCAGCAGGGGTATTACTTTTTACTGTGTTTCCACTAAATAAAGGACTGGTAAATCTTTAAGCTTGCACTGGTTTCTCTGAAATCTTGATTCAGGGCTTTCCCGTATTGGCATTTTTCCTTCCAAATTTCTTCCCTGACTTATATTGAAAGTTAATGTCTTTCAAAACACAATACTTACCAAGCTACAGAGCAGCTTCAGTTGCTGCTTTTCAGTTGCTCTGCAGACCTTTTCACATGTGGAACCGCAGGGCATTAGCAGCATCCACAAGTTGCTAGTTAGTCTTGTGTTATCACTTACAGCGAGACAGTGATGATGATGATGATGACGATGACCGAAGCAGCGATCGGGAAGATGGACCGCTAGAAGAGCAGATAGAGCGCTTGCAGGAGAAAGTAGAGTCAGCCCAGAGTGAGCAAAAGAATCTCTTCCTTGTTATATTCCAGGTAATGATGGGCAAAGTCTCTTCTCACCTTCAGGTTTTAAAGTTATTGGATTTATAAGTTTTCATTGTCACTTGTATCTTGGGCATCTTCTTGGAATAAGAATATGGGAAGGGGTTGGTGGGCTTACTATGGGTTAGAGTCAGTCCAGATCATCCCCTTGCAAAGACTGCTTCTGAGCAAGATCTGTTCAGTTTCAAGTGCTTAGGAACAGAGTTCTGGTAGCATACAGTTTCCTGAACAACCAGAAGGTAACTGGGTTTTATTTGCTTACTAAATTCAGTGTTTGCCAAGCAAAATAATTACTCTCACATTGCCGTTCAAAGCTTCTGTCCCCCAGATCCTCTTACTTGAGGTTAGGATCCTGCTTTCATTTGACAAGACTTACGTATTCTTTTTTCTCTCCTGCAGCGTTTCATTATGTTGTTAACTGAGCACTTAGTGCGCTGTGAGACTGGTGGAATTGATGTATTTACACCTTGGTACAAGAGCTGTATAGAGAGGTTGCAGCAGATCTTCCTGCAGGTAAGTTTCATTTCTCAGTTTGGAAGGCTGTGGGCAGGGACATGCTGGATAGACAAGCTTTGTGGCTGGAGAACTGAGCACTCCATGAGAGTAGCAATAGGCAGCACCAGCACATCTTCTCTGAAGACTTGTGTTGGGGCTAGGTCGCAGCTCTGGTTCTGGCCACATCTCTGCCACAGACTGGTGGAGTGACTGGTTCTTGTTTAATTCCCACACTGTGAGCATACTGCAAAAAGATACCAAGATGTGATTATGAATTTCACTGAGCTCCTCTTAACTGTATGTTTATAGTAAGGGCAAAGTTCTGAGCAAACAAGAATACTAAAATAGATGTCTTTTAAATACGTGGATTAAAATATTGCAGAATTCCTTTTAATAAGATGCATAAATATTAAAAATAATTTTGAATTCTTGAATCAGGTAATAAGCACAGGTTGCTGGATGAAAGTGATAGCAATAGAAAATTATACCTGTGCAAGTAGAAGATATGTTGAAAAATGGGAGTGGTGGTATAATTCTCCCTTGGGCTGAACCCTTCCTTGGTAGTAGATGTGGCTTCAGAGGAAAGCAAATATCATGATTCTTCTAGGATATCTCTGCAGTTGCATGGTATCCTGCACAAAATTCAGGGTCCAGGAGTAAAAAGCTACAGGGAGCACAGTGCTCCTCAAGACAGGATTTCAGCACATGCTTTCTTCTTGCAGTCACTAGTGGCTGTGCATTATGTTTTTCTTGTCAGTTGCTACTGTGGTGTGGAAATGAGATGTGCCTGACAATTTTGATGAAAACATTTGACCTGTGATTTTTACATGCCTTGACTTCTCTACCTGTTCTTATGTATGGATAGATGAAAACAATAAAGGTTTTTGTTTTGTTTTTGTTTTTTTATCTGCCAGCATCACCAGATAATCCAGCAGTACATGGTGACCCTAGAGAACCTCCTGTTTACAGCTGAATTGGACCACCACATACTGGCTGTGTTTCAGCAGTTCTGTGCTCTGCAGGCCTGAGGATTATTGACAGGCAGAGTCTTGTCTGCAGGACTTTAATGAATTTTTTTTTTTTTTTTTTTATTGGGAAAACTTGACATGGGGATAGAAGAAATTTTTGACTAAAACTGGCTTTCATGTGCTCCTATATAAAACAATACAGTACTCTGACCAACAGCAAACTGTGTAAGCATCATAAGCCTTACAAGATATGACTGATAGGGGATAGATGCAAAGCAAAGTATGAATTCTTTTTGTTGTCTTCTAACTTGGTTTGACTCTCGACTTCATGATAGTATTTTTGTTTCTCCCCAGTTGTTTATATAAAAATAAAAATCGGGAAAAAACAAACAAACAAGAAAACCCCAAACAATAGAATTTGTTACCTCTGCCTGGCCCTTAAATCAAAGGAATTGCAGAAATGAGAAACAGTTCATAGTGTTTTGTGAGTATGAAAGGGAATGGACCTTCTCAATGAGCAGTGTGGTAAGTTCTCTAGTATGGCACAGGAAAAGTGTCTTAGCTTTGGGCATGTGAAACACTTGAGTTAAGCTTTCAAAGTAGTATAGAGCATATGGATTTGTTTATTACCAAGCCAGCTAGATTTTCACAGTTCAAAAGAACATGGTTGTAATACAATTGAAGTATGTTTTTGAAATGTATTGTCTAGTGTCTTATTACAGTAGCTACAAACAATCGGTAGAGGAACTTCATGGACAACTTCTGAAAAATGCAATCCTTTTTGCAGTATAGTCGAAGAATCATTAACTGCTCCTGGCAGCAGTCGTCACTGGTAAATAGAGACAGTAAGGAAGAGTTGGAGTGGAACAAACTTTAGACTTCCATACTGCAAGCCTTACCTGGGTGTTGGGAACTCCAGCCCCAGATGCTAGGGGAGAGAACAGGGCAGTGTTCAGCTTGTTCCTTTATTTCAGCCTGTAACTAGTTGGGCTGCCAAGCTTGCGCTGGGCTGGGCCTGCAGTGGTGCCAGAAATCTTTCTGGTAGCGGTGGTGGATGAACCAAGTGCCCTTGCCTCATCTGGCTTTGTAACAACTGCTTTGCAGTGGCTGCTTCTGCTGCCCTTCCCTTGCTTAAAATGTAACAACAGCATGTGGCTCCCATGTCTTCAGAAAACATTTTAATGCTAAATTAAGTGATATCTCACAGGAGACTTAGACTGGGAAAACACAGCCTGGAAATAGAGTAGCCTTAGTTTTGAGTTACACAAATAACATTACATACCTAAATGCCAAGCCAGAGTGGTCTGTATTATGGTAAGCAGTGATGAATGGCAGAGACACTGCCTTAGGTGCTCAGGTCCATCAGTCTGCAGTATATTTCCAAGCTGTTTATGGTCTCTTCATTTTGCAGATGAATGTTTAAAGAATTTACATGCCCAGTGCTATTCAGTTCAAGCTTAGAAGGTGATGAGCTTCGAGTAATTTTGTTCCTGTACAAATTATTTTTTTCAAGTATTATACCTAGTGATGCATTTCATCCATACATTGACCAATTGACCTCCTGATTCAACAAGGAGGGTAAAAAATGGGACTTTCTACTTTGAGTGTTGATTGACATAAGTTTGTGTGTGGCCTGTAGCAATCCGATATATCCTCATAGACTTAGATCTGTTATTTCTGCTTTCTCTGCTTACGCTTTCTGATTTGACCAGTCCCTCTGCTCTTTCAGGGTATACTGTTAATTGTTGTAAATTTGCTTTACGCAAGGGTTTTGTCAGTCATGCAGAGACTTCTGCTTCAAATATTTCTCTGTTAATGTTCTTGAGTAATCAAATAGTTGGTTTGGGGTTTGGTTTTTTTTTTTTTTTTTTTTTTTTTTTAAAGAAACGTTGAATACTGTAGAGGTTTTAATTGGGGTTTAATAGTTTTTTCACCGGCTCGGATCAGTATCAGAGTTCTGGTATTAACTTGTGGTGGGGGTCTGACTATAAATGTGACTTCTGTAAAACTGATAATGCAGTTAGAACTTGCAAGCCTGTAAAAGCCTGTACCTTCCTCTGAGCCTTGACAAATACGGGTGCTGGAAATCCAGTTGCAAATGCCTGAGTGTAATCCTGTGATTTAAAACCAAATAGCAATGTCTTTCAAAATTGTTTTGACTTCCATGGTGAGCATGGGCTTTGATCATATTTCCTGAGTCTGTTGGACACCTTCCCCTCTATGTAGGTCCAGTGGCGTACACCTGACTTGACTGGGAAACTGGTTGGATCCGTAGGAAAAGAGAATGAGACGCTTGCATAGTGATACCAGCAGCTAACTGGAGAAACTTGGAACTGCTGAAGCATGAGGTGGTGGATACTGTAAAGATGCTATAGAAATGTGGTGTGGTTGAAAAAGATGCACAATTAAAGACAAAAATAAATGAAGGTGAAGCAGATTGCTACTGGGAGTGTTTGTCCTGCCTATTTTGGGGGGCCACTGAAGCAAAGCAGTCACGGCAGGGTTACGCTGGTGTTAAATGCTGTCGGGTCTGGAGCAGTTTTGCTTTCCCTGCACTGTTGCTGGTACCCCGACTAACACACGCAAGCCTTCACCTCCTTGTGCTACAGGTTGATCAAACACACTTCCCTCCCCTGCGCAGCCAAGGGAGGCAAGCATGTGTGCTGCTGGGTGCCCAGAGGGTGCTTCTGTGGAAATTCTCCCTCTCTTGCCACCTCCTGTCTTCTGGGCGGTGCTGCTGCAGGAGGTGAGGCAGGGGTGGGCCAGTGGTGCCTGCTGAGGGGTGGCTGCTGCAGCCTGCCCACGGGTAAGTGATTCAGCAGCCGGTGCACACCACCCAGCTCCCTTGGAGACGAGTTTTGGGACCGAAGACAACACTGGCTCTTGGAACCACGATGTGGAGGACTACCTCCAAAAGCTCTGCCACTTTCCTAGGTCTGGCAGAGCCCCAAGTACTCTGTGCTTGGTGGAAAGGCAGGTCACAGGGCTGCAGACCATGAGAGTGCTGGAGAAGTGAAGACCTATTGGTGGAACCATCATCTGCCCTCCCCGTCCACCTTCTCTCCACTGGTAACATTTCAGTTCTGCACAGCCAGGGGCCCAGGCTCCCCAAAGAAGTCTCAAAAGACTTCAGAGAGATCTGCCATATTTACAATGGTGAACAACTGCAGAGCCACTGCCTAGAGCGTGTTCCTTCACTTCAGCCATTTTCACAAGCATTCCACAACAGCTCCAAGAACTGAAGATCTGAAATTTGAGAGATTTGACTTGAAAGTGAATCCACCCTCTCCTGAAAGCAAACATCATTTGGGTCTATCTTGGAGTGTACTCCCCTGCCCAAGGACAGGTATTTACCCTTTCCATTTACAAATTTCTGACAAAGTTGTATTTTAAGAGTCATCTTGGTCTCTGGTCCAAAACTTGAAAAAAAGGCAATAGATGATACAGTTAAGGACTCTCCCCTATGAAACATGGTGGAGATGCATCAGAACCTCCCCAGGAGCACACAGCTTTCGAGAGTGAATTCTCCTTTTAACAGCGTCCAATCTCCAAGTCCAAGCAGAAAGAGAATCTGCTGCATGACATGATCACCAGCCACCAGACGATGTGGTGTACCAGCTAGTTGCCCTCTGCTAACCCCTGACCAGTGACAGTCACTGGAAACCAGACAACAGTTAGGGCAAAATACAGAGCCTTCCTCCTCTAACAGAAGCAGGCAAGAAATGGGAAGTTCACCCTAACTTCATCAGCACATGAAGCAGAGCAATACTGACTTATCTTTTGGCCTACAAAGTACCAATTTATTCAGCTGTTAAAAATGTGTTACATTCTGCCCCAAGATCTAGCTTAAAAGCCAACAACTGAGAAATACCATTCTTCATAGAATTTTACAACAGCTTGTTCATGATTAGGATTTATTTGACTTCAATACAAAGTATCACTACAACATAATGAAATTATCTTTTAACAGATTAACACTACATCTTCTCATAAGTTAATTCATGGCCACATACAGTACATATCTTTTTATATACATCTTCATCAATGTTTTCTTCTGCTCCATACTCATGTTCATGAATACTAGCTTCTTTCTTCCACAAACTACTCCTCATAGCACGGCGGAGTTCTGATGAGAAATACAGGAAAATTTCAAGATTTTAATAAAAAATGGTTAATAAAATTCAAGCTAACCATGTTTCTGAGGACTGCAGATGACAATCTGCTTGTTGCCCTTCTTCCATAAATTCTGGGCAAGAATCTGCTGTTGCAAGAACAAGCTCTGACATGCCTTGCAATCCTCACCTTGTTTGCCTATTTTGAAGGGTAAGAACTACACAGACATGAGATCGTCCAGGAGAAGATTTTTCCATCTGGACTAAGTACATGTTGCCCACTGCCTTTTTACATGAAGCCATCTGAAGGTATCCAAAAGGGGTAGGTGAAATGCAGAAGAAAAGTTTTTATAGAACACCTCACTAGTTTTACATGACCAAGAAAGAGTTACTTTTCATTCAGGTCACAGTAAGCCTCCCAAATGACTTGGCATTCTCTAAGCTTTATGCCCAATAAAGTGGGTTGCCTCTGCAGCAGCCGCAGTGAAGTCAGCGGGTTTTCAAGAGAGCACAGGCTGGCAGCCTAGCCCAAGATATTATCCGGATGTTTCAAGTGGGTGGCAAGCATACTGAACAGCAAAACGCGGTCACATTTTAAGCCAAGCCATTCAGGCTGCAAACTTTTGTCACGTTAAGGCCTGTACTTGCACTGAACTCTTGGCATCTTGGCTACAGTCTGCTGCCAGTCCTTCTGTGCCCTCAACATCAATGGTCCAGACAGGAGTTATTTTCTCACCCTCACGTTCTGCCTCCTCCAGACAATACCAGTACAGCCAGCCCGAGCTTTCTGCCTCTGTGAACGCTGACCCGAAGCAAAGCACAGATGCTACGGGCAGCACGGACACCATGGTAAGCCCCAGCTCTTGCAAAGAAACAGACGTGCTCTTTTTTAAAATTACTAGCATGCCTGTGCTGAAATTATTTTTCAGAAGTTCTACCCACTGAATACTCTCCTAAATACTTATTTATCAGGAAAAAACCAAGGATAATGAGTAGCAAAAACAGCAGCTGGGAATACTGTGAACAGTGGGAAATGCCACTGTCTACCTTCATTTACAGTTACTCCACCTGAAGGCATTTGTATGACAGAATTATAACCTACTGCCACAAAAATTCATGTTCTCTGCAAGTCAGGAAAAGTAACAGAACAGCCTATGGCACATTCTGGGTCATACCAAAAAATTTTCAAAACCCCATAATGAACCATCGTAATTGATTTCTGTCACTTACATCATGTTCACAGGACAACAGGTTAATTCACATTGGAAGGGACCTCAGATCTCCGGTCCAGTCCTCTGCCCAAAATAGTCAGCTATGAGGTCAGACCAGACTGCTCCCGGCTTACCCACACAGCTCTTGAAAGCCTCCATTTTGCCACACTGAAGATTTTCTAAATACTTTAATCAGATGCAGAAACAAGTTCAAACAGAACCGTACTTTACTTCAGGTACTGCAGTATCTAAGTCTAGCCCTTTACCTTTAACTTTCTTATCAAACTTCTTCTGTTTCATCTTCTCTCTGCTGTCACGGCGGAGTTCCTTTGCTTTTTGCAATGATTCTTCACTACCCCAAACTTCAAGAGAACGCTTGATTACCTACAGGATGGACACAGATGTGTTTCTTTTCCCCTCAAACAGAAGTAAACTATTCTAACTCACAAATTTTATTTTTTCCCCTACACATACACAAGCCAACCCAATCTTGCCTCTGCCTCCCATCTGTCTCTTTGCTCTTGACCTGCAAACATGGCATTCCTTCCACAGTAAGAGAGAACACTGCTTTTTAGTATCAGCTAGATGTAACTTAGTCAGGGAAGTCAAACCCAACTCCAATTTTGCGCATACTCCACCGAAGCAGCAGCATTCCTACAAAAGTAGCAAACAAGAAATGACAACAGCCCTGTAAAATCTACTTGCCTTTCCTGCTGCCCCTGAAGGCAGAGCTTTGAACATGAGACCACAGCTACAAAGGGCCACACACAGCAGCAGCTGCCCCACACATTTCAGTGTTGCACCTGAAGGCCATGCACTTCATGACCTGTTAATTGTGCAAATCAGAGGTTGTGGTCCATGGACATCTCTCAAACACAGACATTTTCAGGAATTTGGACCACTGCTCTTTATTTTAACTATACAGAAAATTTACATAGGCTACACATAATATACTTAGCTTTGGCAAAATCATTCAGAAATCAGAAGCGAAAAGAAAGCATTTTGGCTACCAAAGCTGTATGAAGGTAAAAAGAGGTCTGAAATACACGAACAGTTTCTATACCTGTAGTTTTAAATAAAGTTTCATGTCACCCCATCGTGAATTATGAGGGTTTTTCTTCACAATGAATCTGAGCACTGGTTCCCTCTTGTCTAAGTCACAGTCTTTAAGAAGATACTCTTCCTTTGCTTCTGTCCTTGTTATAAGCTTATGTTTATCTTCAGCATCTCTGGAAGATGTAAAATGATGATGAGAAAGGTACACCTGAAAAACACATTAACATCTAAGTCCCCATCATTTCTAACATTCCTGAAATACAGGCAGCCCTCTTCCTCTCTGTTTTTATGTACGCAAGTAACTTTGGATTCCAACAGTCTAGCTGAACTCCAGGATAGCTTTACTGAAGTTAAGTTTAAAAATTCTCCCATTTGACCAAACATAGGCTGAGAATCCTGTTTTTCTTCTGTTTTCTTAGAAAAGGGAGTAACTGAAACTTAAAAGGAGTATGAATAATTTTAGGCATTCACCTAACCCAGATGCAATTCAAGAGGACAAAAGTACAAGCCCGACACATGGTCAAGAGAGAAAGAATGTGTAATGTGAGACAGGTCAGATCACCTGAGACTATACACACTCCATATGCTTCTAGATCCCAGAAACAGATTGGCAACACAGAGCACTTGTTTCTAAATGCTACACAATAAGCAGAGAAACCTTAAAATAAAAACCTTAAAAGACTAACTTCTACCAGACAGATAAGGAAAACTGTGTAACCGCAGCAGCATTTATCAGTTAATTTAAAAAAAAAACATTTACGCAATCCTGACTGAAGTGGAACTTGAATTGCTCGAGCCGGAACAATCTGCCAAACCGTAAGTGCTAGCAACGGTCATCAAGGAAATACTGCTGTAAACGTAGCTTTACTAGAATTCAAAGTTCACAGTAAAAGGTAATGCACCGAGGAATGTGTGATGTTCAGCTACAAGAGCTATTTAGACCGAGGGAAAACCACTCATAATGCTCCAAGCCCTCTCAACATCTTTTTTCCCACCCATCCTACCTTCAAGAGACAGCACTTCATCTCTAATGACTGTGAACTGCCTACACCACGTGCACACCCCGACCGCTCCCTGTAGTAAGCAGGCAAGCTCTCAGAACAAACTCCTAGCTGCGTTCTTTTTTTTTTTCCCCCATTCACCCATTCATTCTTACACTCGTGGGTGGTTGGCTGCTTCAGCTGGTTTCATTGCCCTGCTTATCTTGATGGCTTTTGGAGCATTTTGTGTGTGAAAGGTAAGAGAGGACAGACTGCCTCCCGCTCAAGGTCAAACTCCTGCTTACCCTGCAGGTCAATCGGTAACCTCACAGGGGGGTTCTGCCCTTTGGCTGCCATGCTCCTTCCCCACTTGTGCTGACCAAAGTACTAACTTTACTTGGGTTAATTCACTAGGACAGCAAATATTCTCCTAATCCCTGCTCTACTTCAGAAAGCGGGTATTCTGTGTTCTATCAGTTTTTCAAATAGCTCTAGTCTGCAAACCAGACATTAATTTCCGTGCTGACAAACACACTAACTGCTTTCAAGACATCAGGTTTCCATGTTATATAAAAATCTATCGATGTCCCCTACCCCAAGACAGGCTCACGAGACAATGCTGTTCTCCACTTCCATAACGGAAAATACAGAGGTTATATAGTCAACTTCCATTTACTTTTTCAGCAAGTATTAAGTTACCGAAAAATGTCTCTTTGCTGACAGCCTTTTTAATTAAACAGAATTATTTTAATTAACTAAATTACAGCCAGCAATCTTTCCATAAAATAAAGCTTCCCTCTCCTGATTATTTGTAATACCTGCAATTATCACATGTTGCCCAATCAAAGTGCTGCATAAGGTAGGAATCCATGAATTCTTTGCCACAGTCTCCACAGATGAGATAGTCAAATTCTAGTACAGGTGCTAATGGAAAAAAATTTTTTTTTTTTTGTAAGAACTACCATGTTAAAAACAGGCATCTGGAATTGGTATGACAGGCAATTTTACTAAAATTTACATTATTGGTTCTTATTGTTACAGACTAGTTTCACTCCTGTATTCAAGTTTTCCAGAAAGATACAGTACAAATTCAAACCCGTTATCATGCAAACCCATCTCTGCTGGTATATTTCTGCTCTTGCTGGAAGGTTCACTGTATTAAATATTGGATTTCAACACTCAAATGCACACATTTGTTTCAACTTAGCCATTGTTAAAAAAAAAAAAATCTCCGCATTTCCCCATAAAAGCACTTCATATCCCCTCCTACAGCTTCCTCCATTCTGGCCCTCCAAAATACATCCTGAATTACAGAGGACGTGCAGGCAGGAACGGAAGGAAGCAGAGAAGGGGATGCAGTTCGAAGAGGGTGGCTAGAGCAGGAAGCAGTACAGGAGCGGCACTGGCATCATAGTCCTCTCAGCTCTGCTCCAGTTTTTTTCCTTGCTCAGCCACACCTGCCTCTCCCTAAACGAGCTCAGCGGAGGCCTGGGGCGGTTGGCAAGGCTCTTGTCCATTCCAGCTGGCAGAAATGGAGGTGGATGGCCAGAGAGCTGCTAGGAGTGGAATGGGGATGGAGCTCCACTACAATCCTCTCCCCAAGCCCTCTCAGCACTGCTCCAAGCCCAGACTCATCCCACTGCCGGCCATCACTTCTGGCCGCATCCTCGCCGGGTAGATCACCTCCAGCGTCATCGCCATCTGCTTTTATGTTCCATGGGACACCAAGAAACACCGATTCAGGTTACCGCAGCTATAAGGAATGTTCCTTTAACAGTTAACATTGTAATTCTAGCATTAAATTAACATTGGTATACAGTTCCAAGAGCTGAAAGTGAGGTAATGCTGCAGAATATTAACAATACCTGAAAGAGAAGATTAATGCTTGACATGCAGCACCATACATTTTTAATTGCGTTTGCATTTATAGCAGATTCGATCTAGCGAAGACGACATTTTATGCCAATTCAGTCCTACTAGCGACAGTGGGATGCTCAGTACTTCACATAGTCATGCTCTTACATCACATTTCATCATTTAAGGCAGTACTCCCGAATACGAAGACATTTTATTAAGACAATGACATTATGAATTACACAGCAAAAATACCCCCGGTGCAAAGGCATCCCAGATCTACTCCATTTATTGTTAAACATTAGCCCCTCAAAAGAAGTAGGGCTGCTAGTTGTTTACACTCTTAATGAAATCTGGTGGTGATTTCTAACAAAGAGATACACTGCACCAACAGCCCCGCAGCTGATTCAGAGCAGAACAAAGCAAGACAAAGACGATCCCAGAGAAGAAAGTGAATCTATTTTGGGATCCTTACTTCTCCATTTGCTTTTTGGATAGAGAATATCACAAGACAATATGTCGAAATCCTCCACCAAACGATCAGCAACTTGGCGTCAGCACGTTTTATAACGATAAAAGCTGGCACTGCAGCAGTGCTCAGATCTTGGCATAAACGATATCAACCTCAAAATTCCCAGAACCAACGAAACCACGCAGATTTACACTTATTTTGGTCTTAAAATTCAAGTTCCCGAAAGAAATAGTGGAAATAACGTTCATCGAGGGAAAAAAAAAAACCTGCTATACCCAAGGGCACTGACTGTGTCCCACTTCTGCGGCTTAAAATTCTTCATTTTTAATTACCGCGTATTTGCTCGCCGCTTTAATGCTGAAAGAATCGGACGCGCCAGAAATTGAGCACATCCAGAAAGGCGCGTGAGGAGGAAGAAGGAAGAGAAAAAAGAAACGAGAGGGGAAAGAAGAAAAAAAAAAAAAAGAGGGGGGGGGGGGGGGGGGGAGGAAAAAAGGGGGAAAAAAAAGCCCGGGAAAAAAAAAAAAAAAAGGCGCCCAACCCGCCCTGCTCGCTCAGCCCGAACCCGGCTCACTGTCGCCCCCGCGCCTTCCTGCCCTCCCCCACCAGCTCCGCGCACGCGGCACCGCCTCCTCCCGGCGCCCCAGCCACCTCTTTCCTGCACGGCTCCCTGGAGGTTTTTTTACCGGGGGGATGCACGATCTTCTCGGCGGCGCCGGGCTCTTCCTCCTCCTCCTCCTCCTCCAGGAAGAAGCCCCCTCCCGTGTCCACGACCTTGGGGGGGGCCCGCGCCC